TTATATAGCCTATTTTAAAGATTTTGAATATAATTTATATGTTTTATTTAAATATAAATATGCAATATATTTTTATTAGTTGTATTCTGAATCTTATAATTTTTTAAATTATAAGATTAAAAATATTTATTTATTCTAACAAACGAAAATAATTAGATTATTTTATGGATTTTATACAAAAGCAAATTAAATTCTTTTTTAACATCTAATTCTATATAATTTTTTTTAACATCTAATTCTATATAATTTGGCAAAAAAATCTTATTCTTAAAAAGTGAAATTGACCACATGTATAATTTATAAAAAAATAAATTGATTGATGCTTTTGGTTGAAGCACTTGGTTGAAGCATATAATAATATAAATAAAAAGATAATAAGTGTATGTGTATATATATTTATGTTACCTTGCCTGCGATATTTTTATTTATATTGTTTTTCTAATTTCCTACAACTTTTTTTTTAAAATCTTTGTCTTGTCTTGTTAAACTCTTGTTAAACTCTATCTTAGTTGAAATTTTAGAAGAAATAATTTAAATTCTTACAAAATTTTCAAAACATACCTAATTAAATATATATATATATATATATATAGATCAAAGCTCTTATATTAAAATTTTATAATTCAAATATTTAAATATTTAAAAATAAAAATATAAAAAATAATAAATAATAAAAATATTACTTACTGTTTAGACAAATAGAATAATATAATCGTTTTTATAGACTAAGCATGCATGTAGTGACTCTGTCATAATAATTATAATAACTGTTAAATTTGATAATAAATAAAAATATAAATGTTCATAAAAATACCAAAATATAAATACCACTATTATTGAATATAATTAACTTCTAAATTGTTAAATATTTTTTATATTATTTATCTCTTCCAATTTTTTTATGAAATGCAATATTTTTACTGTTATACTAAAATACAGCATCTAATGTTATCACAAAAATTGAAATGAATAAGAAAGAATTATTTTTTTTCATAATTTTAATTATATATATAAAATCAATAATCTATGTAAAGTAAATAACGTTTGATTTTTAATGAAATATTTATTTTTTCATTAAAAATAATAAAATAATAATATTTTTTAAAATATTACTCTAATTTTGATATACCTACTAACTTAAATATAATTATGTACAAACAGTTACTAGATGAATGTGATTTTTATTTTTATTTTATTTTATTCTTTAGAACACAGCAAAAGTGTTGGTTGGTAATACTGCTGGAACACATTCGCCGTGTGGAAGTGCTTATTATATATTAGGCACTCCCGTTATGTATTTTTGTAATTTCTAGCATGAATAGCATTGCCTTTAAATGAGATTCTAGTATTTGATTTTAGTTAGAAGTTTCAATTGACACAATCCTAAGCTAATTTTAAAATGTCTTTTCTCTTTTGAATTCTTCTAAAACAGTCGTGTTAATTTTTTTTAATTAGCAAGTTTAAAGTCTATCTTTTTAATTTGTCATATTCAAACTGTCATTAAAATATGAAACCCATTGGTCTTTACTACTAGCTTTTAACATGTAGAAGTAACTTACACCTATTGGTTATAAATCCATAATCATTGCTATAGCCACACTGCATTGGCCTTACCATTGTATATATATTTTGTATTTCTTCAATACATTTTTATCTATTGTATACTTGAATATGATATCAAAGCATTAGATTCTTGATCAGGAAATACAATGCATCATTGGAACTACTTGCTCTTGCATTAGATCTAAGCAGAAGCGGTTTGTGTATACATCATAGTGTAAATCATGCATCATTTTAATTTCTTTCCTATTGAGTGATCAATTAACTTCTCTTTCCATATACAGTGGAGTCCAGCCTGTACTAGTAGTATCAACAATCTAGATCTACAGCTTAGATCATCGTAAATTCAATGAATCATAATCAAGCTTCTAGTAGAGCTACTACTTGTGCAGATCAAACTTGAATTATGGCAGCCCAAACACTTGAGCCTTTCAAATCAATAAACATCTCACTTTTAAACTCAAGTAGATTTGAGGGACAATCAAACTACCAGATTTGGTCTTTTAGGATGTCCAAAGCATTGGTGAGATACAAGCTATACAGCTACTATACACATTCCACATTGTCATGATAAGAGAAAAGGTAGAATGCTAGTCATGTAATTCATTACTAAATTTTTCAAAGCCGCCTTCATTCTAATCACAAAGAAATTTAATGATTCTTATAACCATTGGAAACATGTCAAATTGAGATATAAGCCTAAAATTAGGTCAAGACAACTTTTGTTATTACACAAAATTGTAGAACTCAAAAAACAAGAGATTGTTAATATTGAGCAATATCGCAAGGATTTGAAAGATATGGTAGATCAGCTAAAAGCCATAGACATCATTATTCTAAAGTGTTAACTAACCTATTATTTTTGAGCATGTTATCAAAAGAATATTGATTTTTAAAAAAATATATGATTGAAAAATCCATTTTTTAGGCTTTGCTAAGATTAAATCTTAACTACTTCATAAAGAGATGCAAGTCAAGTATGATCTTAAGAGAGAAACGTAGAGTAAATTATTATCTCAGACAAAGAAAAGGCCATCATTTATACAAATTCAAGAATAGTTCAAGAATAAACCTTTATCTTCTTTTTAGTAGATTAAAAACTTGTGAGATAAGATCTTCTTGAGCCCACAATCAATCCTTGTGATATAAATATATTGTGATAGAATTTCTAAAGATTTATATAAGAATTAATAAGCCTTTAATTTGTTTTGTATTACATCCATAAAACAAAGAAATATCAAAAAAATTGCAAAGTTTAGAAGGTCATTGAAGCTATGACTAATTTGAAGCTCAAGCAACTCAAAATACTATGATCTTATATGAAGCATCAACGATGTAGAGTATCAATCTACAATAGAGACCATCAATTCAAATTACATAAAAAATAACAAAGATCTAGACTTGATATTAATTCAATTAACATAGAGCATATTCATGAATCATATCTTATAGAATATAATAAAGTTCAGCTCAATGTTATTGAGTCATGTAAATCTCCAATAGATGTACTACATGTAAGCTCTTTATTTCTTAAATTTTTTCCAATGAATTTGATGTTGGATTCTAAAGCCACTCAATATGTGATTGAAAATTCAAGGCAAGTTTAGGCTATTGTCTAATTTTGAGCATGTTATTGTTGCTTCTATAATAGCTCTATGAGATGAAGTCCACCATATTCAAGGCAAAGGCAATGTGTTCATTCATTTTTCAAATGGGATAATAAAGTATATTAATAATGTCTTATTTGTCCCTAATATCCATAGAAATGACCTATTAATTGGTCTAATCTTACATCTAGAATATTTTCTTGCAAAATACCTATTGTGATATAATTGTGATATAATTTGAAGAAGATTATTGCAATCCATACTTGCTAAGATAGGAATTACTTTGCTAATGCCATTTAAAAAGAGATGGCGTCCGGTTCTGTAGATGAAATCACATGCATAGATGAAAAGTGATGGCGTCCGGTTCTGCAGTTCCCTCATCAATTAAAAGGTTGTGGAAGGGCCTCTCAAACATAATCACTGGAATAGACGCTGCTTGCGGTACTTGGCAGCCCATTCATTGGGGTCCGATTCAACATCACCGAATCAGCCGAGTGAATTGGATAATATGTAGGTATTCTACTAAATGTGTGTTTGTGGAAGAAAACTAATGTGTTCAAGAAGCACGAAGGCAGAAGGCCACGGCGGCTCCCACCGCAATGCAAATGAGTATTCCACAGAGCAGAGAATTCCCTCGAAATGAAGAATGGTTCAAAGCACCCCATAGATTTGCGGATAGCTCTCATAGATTGAAAGAAAAGTTTAATCTACTCAACTAAGTCAAGGAAATGAATTCTGGAGGGATTGTTCCGATGAGATTGATGTAAAACATGTCGAGAGATGTTAACATTGTTGCCCGAGAAGGAACTGTGAGGATAGAGCCTTCATGCGGTGGTGCGACAAGTCTAGTCGCATTGAATACATCCACCTTGTTAGATCAATAGTGGAACAATACAAAAGACACTAGCGAATCCGCTGCTTGGTCATTCTCTGCAGACCCTGCGAGAGAACCTTCGCTCAGACATCCTCAGCCATCATCAACGAGTCTTGCCGCCCACTTCAGCAACACCTCCGTGGCAGGTCCAGATCGCGCACTGCAGAAGAAAAGAAGAGAAAAAGGAAACAACATATGAACTCAGACCATGGCATCGCCGCAGTCACACAACTAGGCAGAAGGAAAACAAAAGCATGAGCAAAGGCTTCCTGGACGAAGCCGAGACATCGCAATACCACCACCAACGGAACCAAAGCACGCAAGAAATATGACTAGTTCAGCGCTGGACCACCAACACGTTTTAAAAAATAGAACACGCCGACAGTCCACAGCACTTCAGCTGGTGACACTCCCTTGCTGCGCTTGAACTTCTCGGAACAAGAAAAAAAAAAACAAAAAAAAAAAACAAAAAACAAATGAGCTCCAGCCTAGAACCGCCGCAATTACCATGGACAAAACCAGTGGGAAACCACACCTGCGCAGCCTCTACCAAAACTCGGAGCTCCAACTAAATACAGGGAAAGAGGAAAAAAGAAAAAAAAAAGAAAAAAAAAGAAAGAAAGAAAGAAAAAGAAAAAAACTCGGGGGCACACTTCGACATACTCGGGCAGCCTCTTCCCAAAAAACTGGGATCATCCTTCACCTCTGAAAAATCGGGAGAGGTAAGGGATCCTCTTCTTTCTTTTTCTTCTCTATTTCCTCAGTCTGTTAGACTCAAAATTGTGACAAAGGTGCTCAATTGCACAAAATAGAAAGCTTCTTCTCATATCATCAGTCTCTAAGCACTTGCGCCAACTCACTCAAGACTGACAGAATATTAGATCATCTCATCACTTTTATTTGGATACCACCAACTCCTCACTCAATAATATTCGCTGCTAAAAGGTTTCAAGGGGGTGTTATTGAAATATGAAACCCATTGAGATATTATTAGCTTTCAACCCATTGAAGACCCAAGTCTCCGCTACGGCCACACTGCATTGTCCTCACCACTATATATATATATATATATATATATATATTCTGTATCTCTTCAATACGATTTTATCTTTTGCATAGTTCAACACAAACAAGGTGAGCATATTTTTCGAGAATATGCGACTTTACAGCTCCACTAGGCCAACCATGATTACAGCTAATTGAAAATAAGAGTCTCTCTTCGCAAATGCACCGCGCAATTCTGATGTTCGAGAATCGAATGATAACAAGTATAAAGACCCGAGTCTGCTCAAGTTTTTTGAATTGTAACCGACTTGGAGGGAATTCGACGAGTACTATGCCCGAGAGCAATGAGCAATGCGCCTGCAGATTGATAGCCTACACCTTTGAGACAGGGCCAAGCGGAGATCACCTGTTAGACTCAAAATTGTGATCTCGATCGGAAGGCCGTGAAGGGTACAGGAGCTGCTATCCGAAATGCAGAAATTGGATCGACGGTGTCGAAATATGACTAACTAGGAACCTTTGAAGATCCAATTTCTTTGTTATATTGCATAAAATGTTTTTAGTAGTACAAGCTACGTGCATTCTACATTATAGCCAGTATGTTCACCGTCTTCCGTTCATCCATCGCAACGCGCAGTAAGCCAGAATGCGGTAACCAATGACCATAATCACCAAGGCCATGGCGTCAATGCCACCTCCCTCTAAGCTCACTCCGTGGAAGGCAGGTGCATCCGCCATCGACTTACAACCAGTGCTTGAATTGCAATCGTATGTTTCCGAGGAGGAGTACTGGATTTTCGTCAGGAGACGGTAGTTGAAGTAGTTGAAGGATACGTATTTCAGCCATTTCATCCACACTGGAATGCCCTGTAATATGAAAGAAAGCAAAAATGTCAACTGAGTGAATCAGATGTGACCGAGCTAGAAAAGTTCGCGTTGAGATGCACATAGAAATTGTAATAGAGGCTAGGTAATAACCTGCACGAAGTAGCCCCCTGTGAGCATGAAGGCCGGCATTATAATGGACGCCAGAGTGGTCGCTTTTTTCGTTTCCATCAATACTGCTCCTATGAGAAATCCTAGACCCTGCAATTCAATTCTGTACGGGTAAGGTTCATTCGAGAAACTTGGAAATGATTGAGTGGAGAGGCGCAGATTTAGTAAAGTGATCCTGAAATTGGTTTGGAGTAAAGTGTAACAGCAAACCTGTGCCGTGACGACGTTGAGGAAGACTGTCAATAGCGACAAGAAAAATGCAGCCGCTGTTAATTTTAAGTTGGCCATGAAGTACACGATGAACACGAAGATGACCGGCATGATGAGATCGAGGGGCAAGTCACCGAGGGTGCGAGCCATAAAATACGAGCTAAGTCTGTACAAATCAGATGCTCGCTCTTTGTTTAGCATGGCGCGCTCCAGCGGAAACGTGAAGATCGCTGTGAAGAGGGGAAACATGCCCCAGAAAATGGACCAGAAGAAGATCAATCCCATCTGGTCGGCGATCTGAACTTGGGTTTCTCGCTTCGAGCGCCACCAGAGGCAGCCCACTATGACAGAGATGAAGAAGACTTGCACAAATCGCAAGTAGCTTAGGTACTCATGGCGACGCTCTTTGAGCCCGCGCATCATCAGCACAGAAAACTGGTCCAGCCACGAAGTTGACCACTCCCGCTTCGCAGTAACCGCCAATTTCAGCTCCTCCTTCGCTGAGGCCGACCTTAATATCTTCGATTTCTCCTTTGGCAATAATTCTTGCTCAAATTGCTGGACCAGGTAGGAATGCACGTTGGCAGAGCTTGGAAGGGGTGCAGGGGTTTTCTGGCAGTGGCGACTCAAGCTTGTGGTCTTCTCCAAAGCAGGCGGGATTGATATGTCGCTCAAATTGCCGCTCGCAAGATCTAGAATAAAATCGGCAGGGTTCATGGCAATGAAAGGTGTGAGCCCTATCGATGAGAAATAGTTCGGTGCGTCACATGCATTTCCAAAGTAGATGGAATTCCCTTGCGAAAGAAGGATGAGCTTGTCGAACATATAGAATAATCGACTTGAAGGCTGATGAATCGTGGTCAATACTGTGCGCCCTGCCTGCAAACGAATTAATCAAACCTTCATGACTGCATTGCAGAGTTAATCAACAAGAGAAACTCATACTCAAACCAATTTACCGGCCAGCATCAACTGATGTAAGTTTAAGGTTTGTACTTTCGCTAAGTTTCTGATAACGTGGATGATCCGAAGGGCTGTGGTGGAATCCAACCCAGAGGTTGGTTCGTCGAGGAACAAACAAGATGGATCGACTAGAATTTCGTGGCCAATGCAGACCCGCTTTCGTTCTCCGCCAGATACTCCCCGAAAAAATGGTCCTCCGATGATGGTATCTCGACACCTAGCAACAAAAATCCAATTGATGAACAACGCGACACTTCATCAATCACAACAACCTCTAAAATTTCAATGTTGCAACAATGCTGCTAAACCAGAAAAGTTCAACGATGAAATTGAATTTAGGAGTGAGTAATGTTGTACTTGTCGAGACCAAGCTCTAGTATCGTCTCTTCAGCTCGCGCTATCTTTTGAGCTCGAGTGAAAGAACTGGACGGTAAACGTAGTAGTGCAGCATACACAAGAGTTTCTCGCACTGTTAGGTGGCCATATAGCACGTCATCCTGCGTAACAAATCCCATCCTGCATATACAACCAGCAAAGCCGCCTTGTCACAGTCGCAGCATTTTGTCACGGTTAAGAACGTGGATTACAGTGAGAAATTGAGCAAGTCCCAGCTAGGAATCGACCATGCACCTTCGCTTCAGCGCTTTGTTGTAAGCGATGTCATTGTATGTGAATCGGCCTGACACTCCGTGTTGATTTCGTCCACCCAACAGATTGAGCAGAGTAGTCTTTCCACTTCCCGAGGGTCCCATAATTGCCAGCGTCTCGCCAGGAAAGACTGACCCTGTGACGCCATGGAGAATTTCCTTTTCAACCTCTGGCCGTCGCTTCACTTTGAATGGCTGCCTGGGACTCCAAAATGTTCTCGACTCTATCTTCACCGTGTTTCGAATGTCGAAGAACTGAATCATGCCACTATCATTAAGTTGGCAGCAACCAGGTGCATGATCTGAGTTGGAAATTCCTTGTCAATGCTTGCTGACCGGACAGGTGAGCAAGGTGATGTAAGTACCTTAACAGTTATCGGCAAGGGGGGTTTCCGGTCCGTGGGAGGCGTTCTTGGTTCGTCATCAACGTCCACGGCGTGTTCCGCGGTTATATTATCCTCCTCGTCTGCGACCTCCCCGTTCCTCCGATCACCTGGATTTTCAAGAATCCAACAAAATGCTTCACGAAAGGGATAATTGAGCTGGTATACAGCGTCTTTTCGGGAAAATTAGACAGTTTATCAGGCACTAAAGACCATTGCAAGACTAACAAAAGACCATATTTAGCGTTCATAAACATTTCTTGCTTCGCATTAATAAACGGTATACCATAATGTTGGGTAGGATCAGGGCCGGGCATGGGTACACTGCGGAGAATTCCTCCGTCGAGATCCGCATCTATGCCTCTTCGTCGTGAGCTGGAGGTTTCCAAAGGCTGCTGGAGAGGAATGACGGACGGCATGTTTGATTCCTTTTTCGTTCTTGTGTGTGGAGCTTAAAGAATTCTCACAAAATTTAACCACTGCGCTGTCCACGACACATACCAGCAGACCACATGTCAGTTCAGGTGAAAACAACGACAACGCCAGGATATAAGTCACAATGTTTTGTGTCACCAGCCGGACCTTTGCCTCCCTGCAGCATATGGGCACAGACACTTCATTTCCGACCAACTTGTACTCTGAGTTGTTTGCAGTCAGGTGAATTGCTACGTGTTCGATCATTCTGGAGACGTAAGAATTGTTTCAGTCAAACTGTGAGCATGTATCCAACTCGTTATATACCCCTTACTATTACCGAACTCCTTCAGACTACGTTACACGAAGACGTCCACGGTCTGCTTCTGCTTGAGATAATTTTCTTAGAAATCGAAGTTTGTGAAATTGCCAGCCATCTGCATGGAGATATAGAAACAATAGATCTCTACGGGAGTCAACTGCTACCGCCATCACACTTGGACGATAACTCAACAAGTTCGAGTTGGTCTGTCGCTGAACGTAACTCTAAGCACAGAACATTGGGTGCGAATCCTACAGCACGTACAAATCGAGAACCATCAATAGGTCGAGGTTGTCTGGGGAAACCTACAGCAGAATAAACTACACAGCTCGAGGGTGCGCAAAAGCAATTCAAAGACCACCACGAGATTGCCTAGAGCCACGAGAGTTGCAAATGTCTCTCTAAGTCGTGTACTGCAAAGCGACCGGAGTCGGATGTGGTTATCGAAGCCTTCAGACGCTCAGCTGCCTTTCAGGCTCTTATGCATCACCACAAAAAGCTCACAGCCCTTCAATTGTACCCACAAAGCGCGAAAGAAAAAGAAAGTGTTGTAGCAACGTCTTAAGCCGAAACAGACGTCTCATACACATTATCCACCTCATTTGAAAATACGAAATGTTCCCCAACGGCTTATTACATTGGATGTCAAACAGGAGTCCCACACAATATGCCAACACGAACAAGTCCTACAGTTTCCCCATGACAAAAGCAAACAAAGTAGTATCAATCAATCAAAAAAGAAGACAAGGAATAAAGAAAGTTAGAAAGAAAAAAGGTCTCACCTGCCTGGCTTGAGCATCACGCCTAAATGCATGCAACTCGTAACCAACTTTGACTTCATCTCCACACTCGATAATCTACACTCTAAATCCAAGCCTACGTCCACGAGCAGCAGCATGCTGAACATATACAGCTAGTAACTGTTGCAGGTCTCAAACCCGACTATAGAGCACCCTGTCGATCGACTCAGAGTTACATTTACAACACGCGAGTCGCTAAATGCAGAGAGCCGCAATACCAGAAATGCGGCATGATGAACACCAGATTCCTCAGTGGAATCAGCAAACCTTCTGGAAGCCCATCGACAGGTCCACGGAAAGCCCTTTGCAGGACGTCGCCAAACGACCAGCGACCGGGGGTGCGTTTGACCCTACACCTACGCTGCAGAAACTGTGAATCAGTGACCAATGATCGTCCGATTGCAGTGAATCGACGGCATTTACAAACGTTCTAGACGTTTGCTTTGCACGGCATTTCTGTCGGCTCCAAAAACTGCCACGATTACAGAATTTCAAATACCAAGGCGGAATTCTGAACCTGGCATAATGAGTATATATACGCTTGGGGTGTGGAGGGTCCCCTCGACTAGATCATCGTTGAGAATAGATTTGCACCCTGTCCCGATTTGTTCTGCCACCGGCTCACGACCTGCTGCTGGATCCATGGGTTTCGTGACTGCTAGGGTAGTGCACTCAGAAATAGATGCCGAGTGTGCTGGTAATGTTATCACAAGAGTTGGTGTGGTTGGTCTGTTGGTCCTATCGGATATCATGGCGGTGGATCATCGGCATGCGCCTTCGGCTCTATGAAGTGGATGACAATCTACACATGGGAATGTTGCAACGGGAGAGCCTTGGACTCGCGGCTCAGTATTGCGGAAGGACCGCAGCCACAGACAGAAAAACAACACCCTGCGGAGATGACCCCTTGTTCCCCACTCGGGAACGTCTCCACGTCTCAGATTTCTATGGTCTCATATCAACAAACCAAATAGTTCTTGTAATATTTTCTAATGTGTTCTAAACGCATGTTAGAATGAAAGGTGTTCTATTGTAATTACTCTGTGTTGGAAAGAAAAACATTTGTAAATAGCAATGGGTTTAGTTTCTTTATTCAAATGCGTTTGCGTTTATGTGTGTGTGTGTGTGTATGTATATATATATATGTATATATATATATATATATATATCATAGCATTTTGGGTTTCCATGTGTAGTTATATTTATTTTTAATTGTCTTACTATTCATCAAGAATTTCTATAACATGCATGCCCAAAGTTTGCATAAAACTTAAGGTTGCAATTATACACATGATAAGATGCTATGAGTTTGCAAAAGGAAATATATTTGATTGAATTGTAAATTTAGATAAAGATAAAAAGTATTCTGGGCCATTTTAAATTTATGCATAATCTTTGGTGTAAAGTTTATATTCATGTAATAAATGTTTTTGAGCATCATTAAATATATGAGGTACAACAGGAAAAAAAACATGCCATAACAATGTTATATTGGTATTGCACTTATCCTACTCAATGGAAAAATTTGACACCATATATTTATTAATTTACTTATTAATTTTTTTCCCAATATGGGCTTTGATTTTCTAGAGGAATATGAAACCCAACTCAAATTTTCCACCAAAATGGATGTGAAAGTTCTGTGGGATTGAGGCAACACATAGAGGAGGAGAGAGAGCCAAGATATTAAGAGCCTTGAAAGCAGGCTTTAGGGCTTTAGGGTGTGTGGGGGGGTACCTTTTGGTGGTGCCAGAGATCATGTGGTGGAGCGAATTCCCCACCAGCCAGCCTCAATCAATCATGGAGGGGGAGGGCCATTTGTCTCAGTTTCAAGCTCCCCTGCTACTTGCCTTAGTCTGTATTCCACCCTCCATGATCAGACTTGGGCCCCACCCCATTGTATGTCCATTTCACTTCACAACCATTTTGCTAACTCATTCCACCACATTTGTATGTACTTGGAACTTGGAAAGAAACCTTCCTGCAATTTCTTTACATTTTTGTTGTACTTGAAGAACATGGTCTTTGGGTTGAATTAGTTATTTTTATTTTTATTTTATTTTTTTGTAGTGAGAAGAAAAAGGAAAAGATGCAATTTCTTGTATTGTGTGTATTGTCTTTCCTTGTAATATGCATGGACTTTCCTTTAGTGTGAGTGGTTTTTCCTTTGATGATGTAATTACACTTTGTTTGGTGAATATATATATATATATATATATATTTATATATATATATATTTAAGAATATTTTAATGAAATTTTGGTGCATAAGAATAGAATGATTGTTTATTAGGATACATGAATCACTTGCATATGACTTTCAGTAATTTTTTTGTTAGAGAAATATCATTATGATGCTGGAATTTGATGTTGGTTTCCATGAAAATTGATGTAGATTCTTGTTCATAAATGTAAACATTAATCATATTGATTTTTGTGATTATCATTTTTTATTTGTTACTTTTGTATTTTATAAGGCACCTTTAAATATTCCTCAATATGATCTCTTCCAAACTTTAGTCTGAGTCTTCACCTTTTTAAAAACAAATTCCAAACCGTAATGCTTCTACAAGAAATATTATGAATTATCTGTACAAAATCTCTTGAAATATTTTAACCAAAGTAAATGGTTTTGTCTTTGTTAAATCAGAGTTTATTTTTTAAAAAAAGACATTATCTAAATTTAATTTTCCAAGTAATTCATGCAGGTATGTGGGTGTATATAAACTATATATATATATATATATATATATATATGTATAACCTCAAATGTAAATCTAAAATCAGTTTACTAAATACTACTATAAGAATTTACTCATTTGGTTGATGACTGATATTTTTTGCTTTTTTAATTATCATCTCAAAAATTACATAGTGTACCTTGTTTATTAAATTTATAATTTAACTATTTTTGAAACATACACGTACAATTAAGAATTACAAGAAAATCCAAATTTATTTTCAAGCTCCCCCTGCTACTTGCCTTAGTCTGTATTCATCTTAAGTTACTAGAATATTTGTAAACCACAAAGACAAATAAGACTCAATAGAGAAGTTGACAAAGATTTAAATGTTTATTACTATTATTTTAATTCATTCTACATGTAAGGTTGATATTTTGAAAGAACTTGTGTATATACAGTTATACATAAAACATTATTGATACAAAAAATTAAATAAATATGCACATAATAGTTGTATGATTGTATAGAATGTTGCTCTATTATTAATATTTAAAAGTATGTAAAAATATGCAACATTATAGCATGGCACATAAAAATTATTCAAATATTTCATAGATAATATTATTCTTTACAAGACCAAATGAAAATCCAAATGTAATACAGATGCAAAACTTTTCTATATTATGAGTTATGTGGATGTGTAAATTTTTAGTTTCTATTTAATTTGGAGCATGATTTATGACTATTAAATTACATTTACAATTTGTAAAATGGGTCAACCATAAAAAAAATTACATAAATTAAAATTAAATTTTTATTTTTATTTTAAAATATATATTATGAAAAGTTTGAATTTGGTTGTCTTAATATATCTCTAGGTTGATATTGACAACTTTTATAAAAGCTTTTGGTGTATAGTCGTCATTTATAACCCACATTAAATATCTTTCATAGAATATGATATACATATATATCATTTATATATACATATATATAGCTTACAGTGCAAACTACTTTACTTAAGGTGTAAATTTTTTATATTGTAAAATATGCATTTACAAATTTTAACATAGTAAGATAGAAACATACATGTGCGTACATATATGGATTTTATCCAACTAAATACTAAAACAATTCTCATCTTCAAATATAATATTCACGTTTTTGGCTAAGTATATGTTTGTCATTATAATAAGATACTTGTGCACCATGAATCTTACTTGGATTGTAAACTACAAAAAGCCAATCTGAAAATAACTATATTGGACATTTTTCAATATGGTCAAAGATTTGTGGATTATTGACCATGTTGTCAACACAAGGAATACAAATAAAGTCAAAAGAGTACTATAGATATTTTTAAACAATAATGTATTGTTAAAAAAACTTTTTTTAGGTGTTATAGTGTCCTTTGATTGTGACAAGAACAAGTACAAAATTAGTTGGTCCATCTTTTTAGTAGGATTTTAAACCAGTATTACTACTACAGTAATATTGGAGGTGTCTACACCTATGTAAAATATTTTTGATATAATTGATTAGTATCAAGATTGCTGCATCTAGATATCTAATTTAATATAGTTTAAAGATTTTTTTTAAGTCTTTCATTCACAATAAATCAATGTTAATTCTTTTGCAAGTAATATAGATTACTAATGCCACAATACAAGTATAGGAATTTATGCAGCATTGTTTAACTTTCAAAAAGTATTCAAAAAATATATACTTTTGGTGTCTTTAGGCACAAGCACATCTACTACATCCTAAAGTTCTAAAAGATCAAAAAATTCTCTAGTCTTTATTCACTGATATTTGAGATAATTAATTTTGAACTCTATATTATTCTCCAGCATTATTTTAATCTTTTTTAAAACCAAAGTTTAAGTTTGTTCAAGTTAAGATGATTTATTTTATTTTATTTTATTTTTTTGTAGAGTCATGTTTGAATAACATGTGAATGGCTCTATATCTTTTTTGAAGGTTTCATTGATCATTTGTTATTATGTGGCATGTAAAGGAAGCAACTTTTAATTATCCATAAATACCATATCTTATGTGCTGTGACCTCTTCTACTATTTCTTCAATGAAGGATAGGAATTTTAGATTTTATTTTTTGTGGCTACATTAAAGTGTTAGAAATTCACATAAAATGTTAAATACACGTTGTTGTAAATAACATGTGATAATTAAATTGTCCAATAACTTACTTTCAAGAA